AAATTTTAGTTTTCTATACATCCATTGTGCCACATTATAAGTAGGGCCGCCTTTAAGGGCAACAATTGGCCGAAGTGGGACATTCGATTTGTGACTTTTTGGCAGTCCGTAGAATCGTGCCAGGGCGGTATCCGTTTTTTTATTTCACTCTCCACTCGTCCATCGTGATCACATTCTTCTGCTGGTATTCTCTGAGTAGTTTAGTCAATTGGTTGGATAGTGCTTTGGCTTGCGAGCTCTGGGCTGGTCTGTAAAACTCCCCCCCTCTCTCTACCTGTCAAACTCCCCTCCCTCCCTCTGCCCGTATGACGTTCAACTAGCTCCTACCCCCTCCCCCACAACAGTTGCTTGCTTCGTGGAAGCTACTATCCCTGACGGTGGAATCTCCATCCCTTCTCTTCTCTTCCTCCCTTCTTCCTCCCTCTAACCCCGACCGCCTCCTCTATTACGTTTGATTGGCTCATACCCCCTATAACTGTCGCTTGCTTTTCGTGGACGCTCTCGCAAGAGCCCGAAAGCTCAGAATAATAAACAACTTGATCCGGTGCTCGTCCTTCCTTCTTCCTCAAGCATGCAAATACCTAGAACTCAAACGTTCTCATTCATTAGGGAATAAACTGCATTAAGAGACAATGTCTCTTTTTTCCCCTTTCTGGTGCATCAATTGATTGTCCGAGCCGGCATATCAACCGATGGTGAGCTTAGGAACGGTGCGTGCTTATAAATGCCTGAGCTTGCCAGAATCATGAACATTCCACGGCAGATAACAAAGGAGGATTTCCCACAACGTGAGTCATTTTCTTAGATCGCACATGCAGCGGAGGAGCCACGTCGAGTGGCAGAAGGAAGAATTTAACATTACCTAAAGAATTGGACCTAAATTGGACCAAAATTTACGAAAAATTAATAATCACCTGCAAACCGGCACCAACGAATGGACTGGAGCTTTGAAATAAGAATAAAGAAGGAAGGCGAACTGAAAACCTATAAGCGATATTTAAAGTAGTATTGCGATGTTTTTTTGAAATACGAAATGGAAAATTCCAATAATGATAAGAAAACATTGTAACTTAGTCAACTTTATGGGGCTCTAAGCATAACCAATACCGAGAATCCCTACCTTTTTGTCTTTTAGGTGTACAGAAAGCCTGTCTATTCAAAACAGCAGCTAAATAAATCAGAAGCAATATAATAGCATTTGACGATGGTACTTTGATGAAGTGTTCACTTAAATATCCTTTACGAATAAATGGAATACCAAGAGTGATCGTTAGCGAACAGTATACTTTTGAAGTACCGAGTCTAACAATATTGCATGAAAATTGGCTGCATTTCTCAGTTTTTAAATTGCTTGAGATGCCTTTGGTTAAAAAAAGCAGGCTTTTGATGAAGTTCACGCATAAAGACGTAACAGGCAGGAAATTCTTCGTGGGGTCAAATGTTGCCAGGTCAGTCAATGACTAATAAATGTAAAATGAATTGTCGGGTTCAAGCGTAAGTATATCAGAAGCACATAACTAGCAAAGACAAGGGAGACTTGAATGCTCATTTATGAATTATTAACCGTAATTAGCTAGCCATGCCTAATTCCAAGGATGGGTGGCTGAGGATGGCTAATAAGCCAGGAATGGCCATTGAAGTCTTTTTTGTCTTCGTCACTAATCGTTTTCTGCTTATAATACGTTTGCCGTTGATCGATAGTTGATTGGGTCCGAGAGCGAGCTCTAAGGCGCAACGGGCGAGTGAGTTCCGTAACCGGCTAGTGAGGGCCTAGGTACCATTGTGCTAGCATACCATTTCGTGTATTCTTAAAGAATTTTGCATCCGTAAAATGACTTTATGGACATTTCTGGTTTGTTGGAGCAAGATGAGTTCCATACCTTCCTTGCCGTTTCCCACAAATGTAGATGCTGCTCTGTGTGT